ACACCAGCGCACCTTCTCTAATTTCAATGTACTACCACTGATGTCTGGTGGTGTGAAATCAGTATGGGTCTCATTTGATATGAGTATGCAGAAGGTCAGATCATCAGATGTTCAGTGTCTGTGTAATTGCTCCTATTTTCATTAACCAGGTATGTGGTTCCCAGTGCTTGCCATTTGGCACGAGAATGCTTTCTGATGGGTTTCTTCATATATTCAGCAGACATATTCCTATATATAAAATTAATCAGCAACATGGTTCTAGGATCCTATAGGTATAGATCCATGTAGCTAATTAATTTTAATTAATCTGAAATATCTTATTCTGATACATTAGAACAATCCTTTTTGTCTTCTTTCTTGTGCAATATTTTGTTTTTCAGAGATTTTTCCACAGTGAGAAGAGTTAACAGCAGGTAATGCCATTCATCTCAGAAGGAGTTTGAAATTTTCAGTGTTAGTGATGAATGAGGGTATCTGACCCACATCTGTTTTACATTAGAATGGAACATTGCCCTGACATCGTTAGGAGCATTTGTCAAGATTCCCTGGACAGAGCTTCTGTAAATTACATGCTGCAAATGTGTCAGGGTCAGATAAGAGGATATCATTAACTCCACTAAAGTTTACTCATGATTCTGTCAGTTCAACTTAATACGTTAACTGCCAACAATTTTCCTTGAGCTGTTTCATTAAATCTTTCATTCACAGGAGGAGAAAAAAAAAGTATCACTGTACCCAAAAATATTGCACACGTTCTTTTCTCATAAATCATATTAATTGCAGACATGGGCACAAAGCATATTAAATGCAGGCATGCGTAAATGAATTAAAACATATGAGAATTTTATTGTACTTATGGTAGGTCCTACATCCTAAAATACCAACCACATTAACAGGCTTAATGTTTCATTTAAATAGAATAAGCTTTTTCTCAGCTTAATGGCCTTTATTTTGTCGATAATAGGAGTGTTTTCTAATAGCTGATAATGGACCAGATGTTGTGTACATGGTATTTAAGGCTTTCATCATTCAATTTCTCATCTTGTTTCTGGATCATATTCTCAGCTAGTGATGCTGTGCTGACCCTAACAGCAAGGGATTTGTCCTAATGAATATTTTGGATTGCTGGGGATGTGTTCTCTGAAAACTTCTCTGTAGAGTTTGATTGTTTCAGTTCACTGTGTTCTCTTTGCTTATTCCTAATTGCATCTTTGTTTTCTAATAGAATAGAACTAAATAGTTCTGTTATATATAGTATATATATAAATAATAGTCAATTATATATACTGTCTTTTATTGTAAAAGCTCAAAGGCTATGCATCAACACTTCTGTGTGCGTTTTTTAAAAAATGAGAAAAAATATATGTAGCAAAAAAACTTACAGCCTGATTTTTTGCATTTATAAGAAGTTCTTTTCTAAAAGAAATTGAATAGTTACAGCAGCACTTGGTTCTAGGTGTCAGACCAGCTCTTGGTTTTTCTCTCAGTTTCTTTGGGATCCAGATTAGTGAGGCTGACAATTACTACTTTGACTTCCCCAAAGTAATTCAGAGGGAAGTATGTATTTTCCAGTGATATGGATGGTATATGGATTGAATAAGTTTATTTTCTTCCTTAATTACTGTAAACCAATTAGACCTGTTTACCTATTTAGAGCTATACTCTTTCATACAAGCAGAAGATCTGAGTTGCAAAATACAGATTTTCATGTGTCTTTTGTACACCACCAAGGTGAGGGTGCTGAGCATCTTGCAGCCGTGGCCCATTAATGGCTTTCTAATGGATTAGGTGAAAGTCAGTCGTGCCCTTCCTGTAACTCCTTGTACGGGTGACAAGGTCACGGCACAGACCGGCTGAAAGGCTTCTGCCCTGGGGCTACTTCCCTTATAGCTTTCAAAACAGACATGACCAAAAATCTAATTATTTAGATACTAATCAACTGCAGGATGATTCTGAAGGCCCCTGAAGAAGATATTTCTGAGAAGGTGGTTACTGTTCAGACTCAGTTTTCTCCACCTGAGTGACAGAGCTGTGTCAGTTCTGCTCCAGAGTGTGTGTGTTAGGTGCCTATGCAGTTAATGAAAAGATGCCTAAAGACATGTATTAGCCAATTAATTTAAACATTTTAAAGTAAATCTCATCAAATGCTAGTTTCAGTTTGTCAAAAAAGATAAATCTTTATCCAAATATAGATGCTACCAAAATTTGAGTGGCTTTTGAGACCAGGTCTGGATCCAGGTTTACATTTCAAGGGTAACCTCTAACTCTAAAGTAGCTCCCGATCCACAAGTTTTTGCGCTCACTGCTTTTGCTGGGAAAGTCCAAATAATGTTGTTTTGGGCTCTATTCTGTTGAAAATATTAAACAGAAAAGTTTTAGCTAAAGTACCTGGTCAGTAAAATATCCATTTGCTCAACTTGGCAATCGCTCCTAAAAGTGCTGGTAGAGCCAGCGTACGAGGGGAGTGCGCTCCCGCAGAGAAGATCCCTATCAGGGCTGTGAGGGCGACGCAAGCCCAGCCTGTTCTCCCTGCTCTTGAACTTGGAACAGAACATGGTAAAGCCCCGCAATACCAGCATGACATAGGTGCTCTGCGGGAATGGGAAGGGCTGTGCACTCACTGCAGATTTCTGATAAACCATGTGGGTTTTAAACTGTAGTCAAAACTATGATGCTTGTGCCAACATAAATATTTTCCAAAGTAGTAATTTTCAATGTAAATGTTTAAGTTGAGCTGTGTTTTTCATGGATCTTTCTCTTCTTTTAACATCATTAGTCTCAATTTTAAAAGACAAGGATTAATATAACCTAAATGAACATAGGTTCTAATATTTATCCTGCTGATGCAATTTCAAATCATTAAGCATGCTAGATTTTCAGGATCATATCATTTTCCAAAGGTACAAGAAAAATGTTTGTAATTCCGAGAATAGAAAAACTTACTACAGTAATCTTTAGAAATTTTAATACTTTTCAGGAACTAATTTTTAGAAGAAAAAGTTGAGAGCCCAGTTGTTTCAGCTTTTAGGGGTTATTGGGACAAAACGCTGTGCAGATTGCTGTGCAAATAACCAGATTTTTCAGTTTGTGGTGATTCCAGAAAAGTTTTTGGTTTTTATTAACCATGAATTCTTTTAATAGGTTTTGTGCATTGAAAAGATTATTTGAATTAAATAGAAAATATCTTGTAGTCTGAATCCAAATTCTTCTTTTCTGCTTTCCACTTAAAAATTATAAGATTTCAGTATCTAAATGAAGTCTTTGGATACATTTTGAAATTTATTTTTGCGTGCATACTTCAGTTTGTGAAACATTCAGAAGATACCATCAGTTAAACTCATGTTTTTATGCTTAGTGAAACAAGTGAACATTCTACTGCTCTAAGCAGTAATTAAACATCTCAGTATTTTTTATTCTGGTGAGATGTCTTGGGTGCGTCTGATGCAGAGATGTTCTGTATTCTTGATGCAGGTAGCGGGGTGTCTCTTTTTGAAGTACTCTGCTTGTGCCTCTCGCCCTTTTCCTTATCAGACATGTAAGACCTGGATAGGTCGTCCTTCCTACTTAAATAATGATCCCTGGAGCTTGTTTCATTTATTTACTAAAAATCAAACAAAACTCAGAGCTGGGACCATGAACTCCCTACAATAATAATCCCTTTTCTTTTGTGATGGAAAATAAATACAATTCAATGTGCACCAGAGCTTTAGGAACCAGACGTGTTCATATGAGCATAGATTTATTCTTGATAAAATAGACTCCGATTTTAATAATTTCTTTTTTGTTTATGGTAAGAAGTGCAGTAAAGCAAAATGACTATCAAATAGCATACGTCAGATATTTGTAATGCCTTTTTGGAGGAAGAACAACCTGTAAATTATCAGAATGTGCTGTTTTGGCAGAAGCTTTACACCATCCACCCCTTATAAATTGCAGACTCTTTCTCAGGCTTTGAAGTGCAACTTATTCCAGTAGAAGCAGGCAATTCTCTCAGTAGTAGTTATTTTCAAAATGTGCTATAGTGTTGTGCCGGGAAAGGAAATGCACGCCAGCCTATAGCGCGAGGAGTTTCTGTACAGCAATAACTTACCACTGTAGCTTCTTTTGCTCCTGCTTGAAAGCACAGGTGCTTTTGAATTTTTTTTTGCTTTTCTACTGGAAATGATGGCCTAGAGGGCTGGGCTTTTGTAGGGACAAGCCTGGATTTTCCAGTAGTCTCTTTTCAACTAATCTTGACTGCTGATTTCATAACTGTTCACGTGCAAGCAGCTTCTTAAGGGAGTCACAGTTGACTTGAAGCTGGTCTGGAATGCCTGACCATTCCTGTTGTGTCCTCTACATCAGTGGATGAAGCTGAGAGTTGGTGTTCTAGCCAGCACTCTACCCTTTCACATTAATTTCTTCACAGGCCAGCACACAGGATGTGCCAGCAGGAGTTACAGCTGCTCTGCCCCTTCCCCACATATTAATATTGTTCTAGGTGCTGGGATTCTTTGTTACTTCCATTGGCGGTGTTGCTGTCATCTGCTCCAAATTAGTTTTTTTTTAATGTCTGCTGATCTTGGAAAAAAAAAAATTGTGTGAGCTTTCTTACAGCTTTTCTGTGTTTGTAGATCATGCAGGATAGTGTGGCTAGGGAGTCACTGCTTGCTTCTTATTCTCTTATAATTGAGTCCTTAAGGAATAAACATCTGCAGAGATTCCAGCTGGGGCATGGGAGGATCAGGCACTCTAAATATCACAAGTTTTAAAAATGATTTTTCCTTATTTTCCCTATGTATCACTTTTTATTTGGTTGCTATCCATCCATTTTTATTTTGGTGCATGATGCAACCAAATTCCTCTTCCTTTTTGGATTAGATACTCAAAGCATAGCTTGAATAGCAAGTCTACCTATTTTAGGAAATCAAATGATGGACTTGAGAACTCCTGTGGCACTTGTAAGCAATACAGTTTTTCACATATTTTAACTGTTTCTATTATTTGACCTTTTATTCTAGGTAATGGGACTCCTGACTAACCACGGTGGTGTGCCTCACCAACCCCAAACCGATTATGCCCTGTCCCCTTTGACCGGGGGCCTGGAGCCCACCACCACTGTGTCAGCCAGCTGCAGCCAGCGGCTAGATCACATGAAGAGCTTAGACAGCCTGCCCACGTCCCAGTCCTACTGCCCGCCGACCTACAGCACCACGGGTTACAGCATGGACCCCGTCACGGGCTACCAGTATGGACAGTACGGACAAAGTGAGTACTGAGATGTTTGCACTGTGAAGTGCAATACTGTACTCATATCAATGGTCTGCATTTCCTGTCTGTAACAAAGAAAATTCTGAGCAGAGATCCTAATGGCTGACTACTACTCTCCAAAGCTGAGCAGAGTGCTCTGGTGAGATAGCTGATTGTTGGAGCAAGATTTCTGCTGCATAATTATTTTCTTAAGTGATGTCAACAACATCTTGATGTTATTAATTGTTGAGACATGAAACCTGATTGCCATTAGGTAAAACATAAGGGTTGTCCAAAATGAAATAACCACTGGCATTCCACTATTAGAAACACATGTTCCTAATGAGGTCAGCTCAAGAATCATTACAGTATATAATCCCAGATACATAGAGTTTTGTCAAACTTGTCCTAGGAATAAAAATATTAGTCCCTTTCCTTTGATATATCAGTATTAAATATGACAATGTCAACCTGTAGTTGGCATGGCCCCATGCTGTGAGGTTGTCATAGCATGACTTAAAAAGCTTCTTTTGCTTTTTTGCAGGTGCCTTTCATTATCTGAAGCCAGATATTGCATAAATGAACTGTCCACTTCAAGTTAAAGCCTGTCTTGTTTTCCGGTCTCACTCCAAGGCTTGGATGCAAGGAATCTTCTCAACACACTGCAGTCTAAACTGGGGCAGTCCCAATGAGAGAAGCAGGCTTGTTTTTTCTCTCCAGTCATAGCTTTTAGTAGACTTTTGAAGGCTGGACAAAGCTATATGGAAGACAAAGGCTAAAGGCAATAGTGAATAAATAAATGTGACATGGTTCATTACGAGTGGGTATACAAAACAGAGCAGTATTTAATATCTCGGCCTGGCAAAACATTCCATTTTTTGTTGTTGAAATTTATGTGCATTGATTGGGACAAATGGAACATTCTGAAACTTCCAGCAGTTTGAGCTCTGCGTACTCTGACTCATCTGACATCCAGTGCTGACTTTAGTCTAACTTTAAAACTGCTCAATTTCTTGAAGCAAGGGCGGGAGAACCTCTTTTGTTTTACACACTGGAAATTGTCATCAAGAGGAAATGTCACAGTCCATAGGGAGCTAGGATAAGCGCAGAAGACTTCCAGAGCAACTTACTGGTTACAATATTGTGCTTTTGTAATCATGTTGTCAATAAATGTCATTTACAAGTTTTGCTTTACCAAGAGACAAGATCTTGTGTAACCTGAAAAACAGATTTTACCTTTTTGTATGTGGAGTTTTCCTAGTCCATTGTACCTTTTTGAACAAACATGGGAGAAAAAAAATCAACAACATGACTGATTTTTCATAACTGCCTAGCAATGTGCAATACTGTGTACCTCACACAAACTTTGGGATCATCCAAAGTCATATAGATAGAATCAGAACTATATTTTTGCAGGTACTTTTATTTTTGCAGTGTGTAATTCCTGTTGATAAAACACAGAAATGTTGCAGTGTGCTGGACAACTAAAATCCAGCTTGCTAATTATGATTGAAGGTGATTTTCAGGAAACAGTACGAAGAAATGATTACGTTTACATTTTTAGTGATGTACAGGACATGGACAGAGATGGACCTGTACTTGACTCGTTTGTTTAAATTATACAGCAATATCCAATATAGAAAAAATAACTATAGGAACCAAGGTTTACAAGAAGTTTGCATTGTGACATTTTAGAATGTCAATAAATTTGTGTTTCGTGATGTTGAGAGTAAGAGGAAGACGGAAGGTGGTGTTATTTATTTCTCTCTATTCTTGGAACAAAGAGGGAGGCAGAACACATACATTCCTTTTAGCATTAAGGACTATGAAGTAGTGAGTTAGACTAGGTTAAGTACAGAGGTTAGTTCACACATTGGTCTTAAGGGTGATGGAAAAATCTTTGTGTTGCAGCCTCTACAACAACGTGTTGTAAAAAAACTAAAACCAACGAAGAAAACCACAAAATACAAACGTCTTTCATGTAAAAATTTCAGTAAATATTTACTATTTATAATGAATAAACATTATGAAGCCTTGCAAAGCACTGATGATTTTGTCCTAAAATGTAGTATTGTGCTAAATACATCAATACATTTTAATATGAATATCATGAAGAAATAAACCATGTTATCTTCAATCCAAACTGTGTTCATTATGTACATGTGTTCTGTGCCCAGGTACTGCTGATGTGCCACTCCAAGTTCTGTGCTTGTTAATGAACTGTGCAATTTTTAAGTGCTATCGGGACTAGTAGTACCTCTTCCCAACAAGAGAAAAGCATTGTGCCTTTGCTGTGCATGTAAAAGAAAAAAAAAAATAGGCTTGAAACCAGCACAAGTAGGGCAACTGGGATGGCTTCACGTAGTGCAGGAACTTTGTAATCAGTTATGAATAGTATCTGTCCTGAATTTTTTTTATTTTCCATAGGACTCTCAATGATTTTTTAATAGGCTTACACACAGGCTGAGTGAAACATGGGGAAGACCCTTCAAAATGAATGGAGTGAGTTTTAGTGGCACATCAGTGTGTGAGGAAATTTTACTTCACACTTGGCTTGGCGGACATTTAAGTTCCTCACCATTTTGTGGGGGGATGTAGCCACCTTGAGTTTCTCTCAGCTTACTTTTCTGTGTGCATTTTATTTTTGTTTTATTTTTATTTTGGTCTCTTAACTCTAGCCCTCTTCCATTAGAAAAGGAAATAATATACCTTTAGAAGAGGATGTTAAAAAAATGATGAAAAATTGGGAAAGGGGATTTCTTTTTTTCCTTCCACTTTATGTTTCTCTGATATGCTTCTAATTTCTGTGACAATTAAAATGTAAAAGTCTCTTATTGATACCTATTTTCTGCTCTAAACTGCAAATTTTTCTGATTTTTTTCTATGTTCCTTCCCTTCCACAAGGACTTGGACCTTGGCATTTGTCTTGTGCCCTAGGCTTGCTGCAAAGGCCAAATAAGCCTCTTTTTCCCCCCTTGCAATCCCTTTGCTGTAAAACACAGGATAAAAGCCTGCTTGCTTGCATGGTATGGAACTGGATGATGTCTGTATGAGTGCTCCTTCCTGGGAAGATTGCACCAAGATGATTGCAAAATGTCACTGCACTGTCTGTCCTTTTCTATTCCAGCAGCTGCGGGGTGGGACAGAGCTGTGATTGCTCCCCCTGTGCCCGCAGTGCTACTGGTGAGGTGCCTTCCTGACCTGAAGTTAGTGGGTGTTTTAGCCGCTCCATCTTCTTCTTAAGTGTGTCCCAAGCACTTCCTTGTGTAAGAGGCAAATGCAGAGCAGGAAGCAAGAGAGAGAAGAAGAAAATCATCCATCCCTCTCGCAGGCAAGTTGTGCAAGTGGGGAACAGGGATGAGCTCTTACCAGAGGATGTGAGGAGCCCAGAGCAGAGGGACTAAGTGGGTCCTGATTTATGATGTGCTGTAGGAATCTTTGACAGAGCTAGAAGGATTGTGTGGGGTACTGTTGATCCCTTCTTTTTATCGCTGTCAAGGTTGAAGAGGTTCTTGGGAGCCACATGTGTTTCTTGAATACAAATCCTGAACCGTTGGAAAGTCAAAGGGGCATGGGCCTGCTTTGGAGATTACATTTGACAGAAAAGTTGTGGAATAGCTGGGAGGAATGTGCTTGTAGCAATGGAGTCCAAAACCTCTTCATTGATGAGTGCAGGAAGGATGGGTCTCAGGGTCCTTCCTCTTTTTATTTGGGGGGGGTGCATGTTTTACAAGATGGGAATAAATAACAACAGCTGCTTCACCAACTGTCTATCATCTCATAGACAGGAGAATTAGAACTGTCTCTTGAGAGACAGGCTTTGATAAAAAAATATTTATTCCTTGTGGCACAACCATGATTTTTAATTTATTCTTTGCTTTTAAGTCTTCCTTTGTCTACAAATAACCTCTACTCTCATCAAAACCCAATATATGCATTTTGGCATACATTTTCATTGGTATGTTACTAGTCTTTTATTTGAGCATGCAAAATATTTAATGAATGATGTAGGAAAAGAATTATTTTTAATGGCACCTATTTTCCTTCTGTTTTCCCTGGATAATTCAGTACATTCCATTTAAAGAAAACCTATAAATGAACATTTTTCTCTAATAATCACAAAGGGTTTTCTACTCAATGTTGCTGGAAAGTCTCACGTCTTTCTATTAGACCACTGCTGTTGAACTGTATCTTTCTACAGCTACTTTGAAAGGGACAAAATGCCTACCTGAACCTACAAACCTTCACTGAAAATAGCTGACTGTTAAACGAGGTCTATATCCTCAGAAATCCATTTCTGTATGTATTTGATATTAGAGTCAGATTCTTAACCCCTAGGTAAAGGCCTGTGCAAATTCAAACTTAAAAAAATCTCGCTACGGATTTGTAACCTACATGTCAAAACTTAACGAAAACATACAAAGTTACTTAATTTTGGAAATCTAGGATGCACCCCAAATTATCAAATGCTACTAATGATTTATACAGCAAGAATGTATTTGCATTTTTGCAGAAGTATGACAGACTATAGCATGCAAACCATTTGTTCTGTCTGAATTCTGTGATATATTCTCATACATGTAAGAAACGTATTCCCTTTTGTCAGAGTGCTGTTGGCTACTGCTAATGTGTAAAGCAAATATTTTTGCTGTGTTAGTAACCATGAAAGTTCTCAGTGTTTTCTATCCATAGTCTTCTGACCTTAAAGTCTATAAAGTGGATTACTAAAAGGTATCTCTGTATAAAATCACATGAAATTAATTTAAGGCAATATCAATTAGACCCTCAGAAACCTAGAACAGCTTTGAATTCATAAACCTCTTTGTATCGTTCATTTCAATGTTCTGTGCTTGCTTAATAATTGCAAGAAAACCTGCATCCTTATTAGAAGATGCCACTTTTAATTTCTTTTGGCTTTTCCAATGGCATCCAGATATTGCCTAGAGCCAGACAAAATTAATTTCTAATAATATGGACAACTAAACTAAATTAAATTGCTGAACTTTTGTTCAATTAAGGTTAGATAGGTATTTTGTTTAGATTATATATATGACATTGCAACGCTCATTTGACACTGTCCAAGCAAATCTTGTGTGTCTTTCAGTTCATTCTGTAGCTAGTGTTACCATAAATCAGGCATGTATTTATATGGAGTCATAGAGTTATCTTAAAAAGTTACATGAGTTGATCTGAATCTCTTCAAGATATTTATCCATTGCAAAATAACCAAAATTGCAGTCCGCTGCTGCAGTCATTGCAGGTAACAGGCCCTTTGGTCTGTCAGATTCTCACAACCTATTCTCTCCCAGCACTTCTGGGCAGCTCATCACAGACCGGGAAGTCCTCATCACTCCCAGCGAGCAACGTGCTTTAGCTAGGTGGTTAGTCACGTTCAAAAACTTACAAAGTTATACAAGCACGCTTCAAATAATTATGTAAGCATACTGCTGGAGGCGGTTCTGTTTTGCTGTCGTGGTTCCGCAAGCAAGGCTTTGCAGTGCTCACGCGTAGTTGAGATCTTCATTTAACGCGTTTGTATTGCCTCAGAACTGACGGCTGAGGAGGCTTGCAATCCAGAG